GCGAGACCCAACCGTCTCTACTATATATAGAAAGAAATTAATTGGCCAACTGTATATATATAAAAAAAATTAGCCGGGCATGGTGCGCATGCCTGTATCCCAGATACTCGGGATGGCTGAGCAGAAAGGATCACTCAAGCCCCAAGTGCCCATCAATCCAAGAATGGATTAATAAAATGTGGTATATGTATACCATGGAGTACTATTCAGCTCTAAGAAACAACGGTGATACAGCACATCTTATATTTTCCTGGTTAGAGCTGGAACCCATACTACTAAGTGAAGTATCCCAAGAATTTAAAAACAAGCACTACATATATTCACCAGCAAACTGGTATTAACTGAGTAGCACCTAAGTGGATACATAGGTACTACAGTAATAGGGTATTGGGCAGGGGAGAGGGCGGAGGGGGGCGGGTATATACATACATAATGAGTGAGATGTGCACCATCTGGGGGATGGTCATGATGGAGACTCAGACTTATGGGGGGAGGGGGGAAAATGGGCATTTATTGAAACCCTAAAATCTGTAACCCCATAATATGCTGAAATAAAATAAAAAATAAAAATAAATAAAAATAAAAATAAAAAATAAAATAAAAATAAAAAAAGAAATTACTCAGCATTTAAGGGAACTACCAATTAAATCATATTCCTGATATAGCAACTTCAAATTATTTTGGGTATTAGACACTTAAATCAAAGTAATAAACAAGCTAACACATAGACCCTCGAAGTGGATGCAAGGCTTGCTCACCAGCCACCATGCCAGATTCCGGCCAGCCAGAAAGAAGTCTGTTACGGTCCCACGACTGCTTGACAGCATGGCCTAAAAACAAAAACAAAAAATCACAATGGAATACAAGAAACCTAACTGTTCCAAAGACATAGGTCTCTCAAATAGATTGTCTTCACTTATCCCCAGATTCCTTCTTTTGTTCTTTCTTTTATGGAATAGAACCTGAATTATAGGAGGGCCTATGGCCACCTACCTGGAGACTAGAGTCTCTTCTAGCTATGAAACTACATGGCCATGTCCATCTCTCTTCACTCTTGTGAAAATAAGATTGCTTTATTTTTTTTACCAAATACTTAACCACTGCCATGGTTTGGGGCACAGTCAGGGAGATAAGTGGTTTAGAGAATACATGGATCAATTAGGGATGGCAAATGTGAATACATGCCTAGCAGTCACACTGCCATTACTATAGCATCTTTCCAGTGCATCCAAGTCTTCTCTGCTCAGGGTCCCCAGCTCTGATTCCCAGATGTGACATGTAACAAGACAATACTGTCATTTCTTGGATTGCTGAGGACTAGCATGATCTAAGTATGACAACTGGTTGATAGAAATACTTTCCATGGAAAGAGTGAACTTACTGCCACCACCCAAGGTATCTACATTTTAATGGTCAGTCTCTTCACATCATAAAACCAAAAAAGTAACTCTAAATTCACGCACAATATCGAGGGGCTACTATGTATACAGTTGACCTTTCTTAGAAAAGTTATTAGCAGCATATAAGTAGAGATGCATTAGAACTTTGAAAGGAATTTATAAAATGTTCTAAGATGAATGAAGTCACCCTCTCTTTCCATTAGAAAAGAACCAACAGGAAGAAGATATTTGGGGAAGAAAGTGGCTTAAGCACTCTTTCTTTCTCCTTGCTCTTTCTGGAACAAAACAACAGCCATAGAAGCCAGGCTGGCAGGGAAGAAGATGCAGCCAATACTTTCCCAAAGATCTCTGGGCTGAAATGGATAAAGAGAAAGCAAACAAAAAAAGTATAAGTTTTTTTCTCCCTCATAACCCTTTAAGAGCCAGGGCAGCAGCAACAAAGACTAGGCCGGGTTCGGTGGCTCACGCCTGTAATCCTAGCTCTCTGGGAGGCCGAGGTGGGCGGATTGCTCAAGGTCCGGAGTTCAAAACCAGCCTGAGGAAACCCTGTCTCTACTATAAATAGAAAGAAATTAATTGGCCAACTAATATATATAGAAAAAATTAGCCGGGCATGGTGGCGCATGGCTGTAATCCCAGCTACTTGGGAGGCTGAGGCAGAAGGATTGCTTGAGCCCAGGAGTTTGAGGTTGCTGTGAGCTAGGCTGACGCCACGGCACTCACTCTAGTCTAGGCAACAAAGTGAGACTCTGTCTGAAAAAACAAAAAAACAAAAAAACAAAAAAACAAAAAAAACAAAGACTAAGACTTCCCAGTTCCCTGTGAGGGCTAGCAGACCTAAGCTTATGAATGCTTCAGAAAGGAGTCCCATCTGTGCAAATGTGGGCATTTCAATTCCGTGGGAAAAGGGAGGTATGTTCAATAAGTAGAAAAATATAAATCTAGACTCCTCCCATCACATCATGTAAAAAGGTAAATTCCAGATATTTTAGAGATTTAAATATAAAGAAACTTATAAAATATTAGAAAAAACTTAAGAATATCTTTGTTCAATCTTAGAGTGGGGGAAAAGTGCCAGGAAATCTAGGAGATACAAAGGAAAAGAGAGATAGCTGACTTCTCTAAGTGAACAAAAATTGAAATGACAAAAAGACACCATTACCAGAGTCTAGACTAGTGGTTCTCAACTAGGAGTGAGTCTGCCCCATTGTCTGAGGTGGTATTTGGCAAATTCTGGAGACATTTTTGGTTGTCACAAGTGGGTAGGGGTTGGGGATCCTTCTAAGCATCCTATAGTGCACAGGACAGATCCTTCACAACAAGGAATTATCTGGTCCCAAATGTCAGTAGTGCTAAGATTGAGAAACACTGGTCTAGACAAATAGTGGTTCAGTGATTCAAATTACAGACAAGTTGACATAAGCAAAATCAAACAACCCAATTAAAACATATAGAAATAAACTGGCTATTCACAGGAAAGAAAAATCAGTGGACAATAAACTCATGAAAAGATGCTCAACCTCCTAAGAGTCTGGAAAAACAAATTAAAACTACAATGAGATACCACATTCAGATTAGCAAAAAAAAACAAACAAAAATTAAATGAGAAGTAATGCTCATGGCTGGTGAGGGCTTGGGGAAAAGAGCATACTCATACACTGAGAAATAATAAATCTCAACTACCTTTGGGGCTTGCCATTAAGTTACATCTGCTAAAATTTAAAGTAAACATACCCTTCTGACTCAGCAATTCTAATTTCAGGAATCTATGCCACACAAATTCAAAGCCTCTACATGTTAAACAAAGAAACCTGGCAGCAATATAAGTGTTAATTACTAGGGAAGAACTGAATAGTACATGTCTGTATGACTATTGTGCAGCTAATTAAAACATGAACTAGATCTGCATCTATTGTATCTACTGTAGTGTAGGATTCTATATTAAGTTAAAAAGCTGGCCGGGCGCTGTGGCTCACGCCTATAATCCTAGCTCTTGGGAGGCCGAGGCGGGCGGATTGCTCAAGGTCAGGAGTTCAAAACCAGCCTGAGCAAGAGCAAGACCCCGTCTCTACTATAAATAGAAAGAAATTAATTGGCCAACTGATATATATATAAAAAAAAAAAAATAAGCCGGGCATGGTGGCGCATGCCTGTAGTCCCAGCTACTCGGGAGGCTGAGGCAGAAGGATCACTCGAGCCCAGGAGTTTGAGGTTGCTGTGAGCTAGGCTGACACCACGGCACTCACTCTAGCCTGGGCAACAAAGCGAGACTCTGTCTCAAAAAAAAAAATAAATAAATAAATAAAAAAAAATAAAAAGCAAGCTGCAGAGTAATTTGTATGATATAGTCCCATTTTTTGTGAAGACAACACACAAAAACCCTACATATGTTGTATGTTTGCATAAGCACTGAGAAAGGGGAAGAAGGATATACAGCCCTTGGTTACCTCAGAAAGATAGGAAGGATAGGGAAAGAATAACAACTCATTCTTTAAGTCCTTATGCATCTTTCATTTCTCAAAACAAGCATGTAATACTTTTGTAATTAACAGTACATATGATTTTTAAAAGAACCTAGGGAAAGATAATAATTTAAGGGAAAAAAGGATCCCTGCATTTTTTATGGCTCCTGGAAGAACAGAAGGAATGGCACGTTTTCTTTGGAAGTGACCAGATGGGTTACTAGTCCTCCGACTTTGGCCAGATGTGGGCCCCAAGTGAGCCAAGAGAAAGCTGTGTGTGGGCCTCCTAATTCAGTAAGAGCACTGAGGGGATGATCCCCAAACAGGTGCTCACTCTTCAGAGCCCCTGCACCACCAAGAAGGGTGTTTCTCCTAATTGAGGACAATTTTAAAAAAATCATTTGTCTGAATGATCTGGAAAAAAACCTCAGGTTTCCCCTTCGCATTTGGAATAAAGGGACAATATTTTCTTCTCTGGTACAAAATCCTCTTAAAAGGATAGGGCCCACATCTCCATTACTGCATCTTTTCACTAGTGGCGTAATGACTCCTAAGCCCTGGACACTGTCTAATGATTATATGTTGAAGGGCTACAACTGCCACAGTAAGATGCTGCCTGTGATCGGGTAAAGCCCCCCAGAGTAAAGGTTGCATGCCCATGAATGCTTCAGCTGGGTGGGGGCTTCCTGCAATGAAAACTCTCCAGCTGGTTAGCAATTGGTGGAACTGTCTTGGCGGCACTGTCACCTGCCGTTCCTGCTTGGTGAAGCAGGCCAGGCAGAGGCCTCTGATGGTTAACAGCTTAGCCTAGGGGAGACAAGTGACAACAGCCAAAGCTTTTATCTTCACCTGACCTTTCAGTGGAACACGGGCAGTATCTGGCCCTGGGTACTGTGGTTAAGGGACATCTTTTGAGTGTTTACATGCTAAACTCTAGTGGGAAGATGGTAGTGAAGGAGACATGGTCTCCACCCTATTAAAGGAAACACTTAGAGCCCTAACTTGCACATGACCCTTTGAGGTCTTACTGGCAAGGCAGAGAGGTTAAGCTCAAGAATCAGGTCACACAGCTCTAGGTCTGAGTCTGTACTCCATCACTCCGTGGCTATCGCTTAATCTCTTTGCAACAGTTCACATAACACTACGTTATTCACAGCATGGTTGTGAGGGCCTGGTGCTGGAGGAGGACCTGGCACGCAAGCACTTAAGTTTAATCGCTGTCTCTACTACCACTATCACCATGACGGTCCTCAAAACGACTCCTCATGAAATACCGCTTAGGTTCCAGGAGGCCGGCACAGGAGCATCTGACCTGTGTGTGGGGTGGGGCAGGGAGGAAGAGGACGAAGATGTGAGGAAGCCATGGCCAAGTGCGGCCTCACTGCTAAGGAAGCTCATCTCCCTCGGCCGGAAGGGCGGGAGTGGGTAGGCAAAGGGAAGGCAGAGGGGTGCGGAGAGGGTCTGCACGCGATGGGGGCCGGGTACTGGCAGGGAGCAGTCAAGCCCACGCAGGAGTCCGGACCCCACCCTGCCCTCTGGGCCCTGCCGTACCCACAGTCCGACACTGAGGACCGACAGGAGGTACAGAGCCAACACCAGGGAGTCCAGGGTGTCGTGGATGCCGAGGCCCTCGGTGCTCCAGTTTGAGGCGAAGCCGGACCCGCTGTGGTCCATAGCGGCGTTTCCGGCCGCCAGGGAGGCGGCGCTGCAGGCGCAACAGCTCAGGCTCCGGCGGCTGCCGCAGGGCATGCCGGGAAGGGCCGTGGGGCAGCCTGGGCGTTCCCTTCCCAGCGGGCCCTGCGGCGGCTCCCGCCAGGCCTCGGAGACCTCTCTCCCCAGGGGCGCCGGCCTTGCGGGAGGTGAAGGCGCTTCGGGGCCCCGCACAGTGCTGTCCCTCTGTCGCCGCAGTCGCCTCGTCCTCCGGTAAGGGTCGGACGCGGCGAGTCTAGCGTGAGTCCACGGAGGCAGGATGGGCCGTGGTGGCTTTCAGAGCCGAAATCGGTGAGACCACTGCTGTCTTTATTTAAACTTTGATGTTTTGCTCATCGTGTATTTTTTACATGAATTCTGATTGCTTGAAATATGTCATTAGTACATTATTTATCTCGATTACTGAGTTTTTGGGCGTCCCTTTACATTCTACACCAAAACTTACCCTAGTCACAGCTCTGGTTGGAAGAACTGATCGCAGAGGGTCCTCACCCTTTTGCAATGTGATCGTTTACTGGGGATGTGTGCATTTTTATTTATATTTATATTTTTATATCGAAAAAATGTCCTGGAGCCACGCCCGAGAAGCCCGGAGCAAGTGGACTCCCGATGTGTGCATTTTTAATCCGAGCCAAGCATTTTCCTTCCTCATGTGTTTCTGTGTTAAATCGTGTTTCTGTAAATCTTGGTCAATAACACTAGTAACGATAATAATAGCTAACGCTTATATAGCTCTTGCTAGGTGCCACACCTTTCATGCACTTTGTATTAAGTATTAGCGCATTTAGTTCTCACGATATTGAAACGGCCTGAGTCTATGACAAGGGCAGGGATGCTTGTTCTTGTGACAAGTGGGAAGTCTATGGTGTCAGCCTCCTGGGCAGAATTCTATGGTCCTAGTTTAGTTCAGTGCTGCCCAATAAAAATAAGAATCACAGATGTAATTTAAAAATTTCCAGTAGCCACACTAAAAAAAAAAAAAAAAAAGGAAATCGGTGAAATTAATTTGTGATATACTTTATTTAACCCAGTATATCCAAAATATGTAATCAGTGTAAAAAAGTTGTTGAGATATATTCTTTTCTCTTTTTTTTCCTCAACTAAGTCTTTGAAATCTGGCATATATTTTATACTTACAGCATGTCTCAGTTCAGACAGTAAGCATTGTCAGAAATGCTTGATCTGTATTTAGATTTGATAAAATTTACTATTGAGAAAGTAGATTCACATACTAAGTTATTCTAAACATAATTAGAAGTTTTCCAGTAACTGAATTAAGTGCCAAAATGTCATTTTCCTTTAAGTCAGTGACAAAACTGGTTCAACTTTTCAGAAGAATTGATTTGACTTTGAAGTAAAAACATATAAGTTTCAAAATTATGCCTGTCCAAGTTAATTCACTAACACTTGTTATCAACTCAATATTATTATCATTGAATTCATAGAGGCAATATGTAATTTGAAAGGTATTTTTAAATTGATTAATAATACAAAGTGTTTTTCAAATTTTCTTTTGGTTTTTGTACTGAATTTGTATAACATAGCCAGTTACAATTAAAATCTTTGGCATACTAACTTATGTTGGGAGAATGTGTAAAGTCATCATTATTGATTTGTGTTATGTAAAGTTTCAGTTTTATCGTAAGTTCTCTTACCTGCCTAGCTAGTTCACAAATATGCCTTTTGTTTCTTTGGCTCTTCTTATTCAGCTTATTCTTAGACAGTATATATTAGTGAGAAAATGTAAGTACAGATTGCCATTTAAAAAATTCATTGCCTTCTATTTTTTCATCAGTTCCATAGAATGATGATTATTCAGAGAACTTGTACATATATACTCAGTGGTTGTAACAACTCTATCCATCAATGATGCTTTTCATAGTCTGCTCTAAAAATTGAGTACAAATATTTTTAATATGTATCACAGAGTAGAATATAGTAATAAAGAGAAACTTCAGTCTATTGTTTTAGAATTCCATTAAATCCAGAATTTTGTCCTGACATAGTTGGAGTACTATCTATCATGATAAAAACTATTTTTGTCATATTTGGCTGAAATTATTCTTTGAGAAATGTAAAAGATTAAAAATATCTATGTTATAAGTTTGATCTAGCTCATGAATTGACTTTTTTTGGTAAATGAAATAATTCCTTTTGTCATTTTTCCATCTGAAACATTTTTCTTTTTGGTGCAAGAATCCAAGCTGTTTTAAAGCTGGGCAAAGTTAGAAACTCAAATTCTGTTAAAAATCATTACAATTTTATTGTTGGACATTTATTTCTGATTTTAGGCAACTCATTTTATCAATTTTTTTGAACCATTGAAAACAAACTTTTTATCAAATTGATTATGTAGTTGTATAACAGAGGTAAAGGTTGAAAAAACAAAAAAACAATGGACAGTGAAATGTTTAGGAGTTGTCTCTCTAAAACTCCCACCCTTTGGGGAATTAAAACCTGTATTCCTTCCCTGAGGCCAGTAATCAAAGGGGCAGAAGAATGTTCTTTGCTGTTTGTTTTCTAGTATCTTAAACCATAGGAGGTAGCTCAACAGAATTATCCTGGACAGGAGTCAGTAGACTGCCATCACTGGAGATAAGGTCAGTTAAAGGGTAAAAGCCATGATATGATATGTGACACTGGTCATGTAGACGCAAGCCCAACCACCAACCTCTCTCCCTTTTAAAAAGCATTGTATTTCTGCTTAAAGACAGGATGGCAGTCTTTGAGACACTAGTCCACTGCTCTCCTCATTTGCGGTGAAATTAAACTTCTCTTTCCTTTTTCTCAAACCATTTGTCTTCATTCTTCTGATGTGGCCTTGGGGACAAGTGCTGAACTTTCGGTAACGTTAATATTGTTCATTTTATTATCTTTAAAGTTTTTTACACATCCAATAAACAGCTCTACCATGCATGATGCATAAACATATGTCCTTCAGTTGAATTGACTCCTTTGTACCTGGTAATGTTCTTTACTCTAAAATCTATTTTTATGTTAATATAACCACTTCTTTCTATGATTAGTGTTGGTATACTATATCTTTTTCTAACATTTTATCTTTAGCTTATTTGTGTTTTTGTATTTATGGTGAGGTTTTTATAGCTAGCAAATAGTTGGGTCTTGCTTTTTTTAGATCAGGTAATCTTTTAATTAGCAGACTGGGATCATTTACACTTATATGAGTATTGATATAGTTGTGTTTAAATATACCATTTTGCTGTTTCTTTTCTATTTGTCCCATACATTCTTTTTTCTCTTTTTCCTTCTTCTTTTGGATTAATTGGTGCACGTATGTGTGTACTTGTGCTTTCATTTTATCTCCTTGTTTAGCTTATTAACTATAACTCCTTGTTGTATTATCTCAGTAGTTGCTTTAAGGTTTATAGTATAAATCTTTTTTATTTCAATAGATTTCGGGGATACAAGTTTTTTTTTGTTACATGGATGAATTGTATAATGCTGAAGTAAGGTATTTTAATGTACCCATCACCAGAATAGTGTACATGGTTCCCAACAGGTAGATTTTTATCCCTCAGCCCCCTCCCACCCTCCCCCTTCTTAGTTTTCAATATTCATCACACTACTTTATGACCATATATATACTTTGTTTAGCTCACACTTGTGAGTGTTGGGAAAATATGATTGAGGAATTAATGAAATGTGGCTTATAAGATCATTATTTTATTGCATAACCCAATATTACTATATTAAAGACAGAAACAGGAGTTTGCAGAGTTTTGCCCTGAAGGAATGTGTGGACTCAATGGTTCACTTATTAGAAGCTGCTATCATGGGAGAGCTCTCTAATCTCTGGTGGGGATGTTTTCCAGGAAGGCTTCCCGGTATCTCAAAATCTGTGAGCTTCCCTGTGTCTTGAAAGACAAGGCAAGGCAAATATAGCTCACAGGATAGGAGCCGGAGACAATGAGTGCACTTTGCCCAGAGATGCGCCCCGGTGGTTATAAACAACCTGTTTTATAGAGATGGGCTTCCTGCTCTCTCCTGTCTGTCTACCTTTAAATCCACCATAATTAATCAAAGATATATAGAGTCACTATACCTCTTTTGTTTTACCTCTGTTAATTGACTACCTCTTAGTCAATTAAAAGCTAGCCCCTGAAAGACTTTGTACCTGTTTGTTCACCTAGGTAGATTAGAAGCCCCTTGAGAAGACTTTTGACCCTAACCCACTACCTGTATCCCCTAGCAACTGCATTCCCTGATATACAAATATGTTACCCTAACAACTGGTAATTGATGTCTGTGATTATAAAAACCTGTATGAATCTAACCATATTGCTGGCGTTGATGGAGATACACAAGTCCCCTAGGTACTTCCCACTGTGTTATATCTCATCGTTTTATATATATATAACTATAAACTATAACTTAGTCTCTGTGTATTCTTTTATTTCTCTCTGTTGCCTATCAATTTCCTTATCTCTGTGGCAACCTCTATCTTAGGGACTTGGCTTCATGGGGAGAAGTAGCTAATCTCCTCGAGGGCCTGCCTCAAATACTACTCTTTGTTTTTCCATTCCTGAGGTATTTCACTTAGGATAATGGTCTCCAGTTCCATCCAGGTTCATTTGGGGTGGGCTTTGGAGCCCTCTATTTTATGTTCTGCCTTTCCTCCTGGGAGAAATCTCAGAACTGTTGAGCTATGGCACTGTGGCTGGGGTTGGAGACAGTGGTTGCTTCTTTGTGAGTGACACCCCTGCTTTAGGAGCTAGGTGCTTATTGGAGGGACTCTGATATTCTCACCTTGCTTCTCATAGCATGGAACCTGTGCTTTACAAAGGAGCCAGGGCAAGGGTGACACATGTCCCAGTATTCTCAGTACCCTGCCCCAAGGCAGAGCCTTTGTCTCATAAGTCGGGGATGAGTGGAAGAAGAGGGCCCAAAACTATAGCCACAATCACCTCAAATTTAGTTTGCAAGGCCCTTCTTGGAAGACACTGCAGCCCTTGACTTGAAGCTGGGTGGAGAGGCTGCGCTGTGTTCTTGGCTATATCTACCTGGAGTGGAGTTGGAGTGGAGTTTCTGTCACACTTGGCTGGCAGTGGGAGGAAGGAGCAGGTCGTGCTTGAAATGCCATGTGTTCTTGCCAAGTAGTAGTTGATTTTCTTGAATAAATATTTATTTGCTGTATTCCTGTAAGGCCATTTTCAGAGACTATCAATTGATCAATCAATCAACCAATCTTAACTATTATACACACTGCTATTCTGGAAGTGGAACTACTCCCTCCTCAACCCCAGTAGATTTTTGAAACTCTGGATGTACATGGCCAGGTGGGTATGTAGGCTGTCTCCCACTGCAGGAAGACTTGAGGACCCATCTCTTAACTTCTTTTTAAATGCAAATGATTTTTTTTTTTTTTTTGCTAGCCATGTATTAGCTCATAGACCAAAACCCTTGTTACCTTGAATTTTAAATTTCTTAGCCCTTTTGGAACAGTCACAATCAAGTAGTTATCCAGTCCTCTTTTAGGGTTGGATTCATTCTATCTCATCAGAGACAGGGGAACCTGGGGCAGAAACTATTTGTAAATGCCAACGATCTTCCTGCATTTCTGCCACCCCACCTGGTGGCCAATTTTGCATAGACCACCCTGTGCCTTGATTACATTTGGTGGTCTCTGGCTCCCTCCAGTGTTGAAACATCTTACCCTAGTGTCTTGTGGTAGTTTGACCATATTTCATTTTTGATGAGGTTATTTTTGACCCGGTGAGTATGACAGTGCTACCAGGAACCAGACTTGGTGCGTTCTTGTGTGGGCTTATTGTAAATCATGCAAGGTATGTGCGTCCCTGGGCCTCTAGTTCAGGGTTCCTTCTGGTTCTTGGGCAGCAAACTTGGCAAACATTGGAGTTAATCATAAAGGATATACCAGGGGTGTCATCAGCCAGTCCTCTCCCAGTCATGCTGACCAGCAGTTGAAAGACCAAGAAGAGAGGCTGTTTTTGGAGCTTGTTGTTTTTACACCTAGAGCTTCAAAGGACAGAAAGCATCCGTGGTCCTCCTTTGTTGGGGTTCCCACTATGCCACATTGTGTGTCTTCATCCCAGTGAGCAGTGGGGGACGACCTTCATTTGGATCCAGTTACTCTCACCCGACAACGCCCTTCCGGCAGAGAGGCATCCATTGGCATCGATCGGATGCAGATGTCCCTCCAGCTCAGCCATCTAGTGGTTGCCAGGCTAAATTGCCTAGATTTGTTCCCAAGGGCTGGAGGCTTATTGTCTGTAGCCAGTCAGAAGCTGATGCTCTTGGACTCCAGAGCTGTTTTATGTCATCCATGTCGCTTACTGGTTGATCAGTGCAACGGACTCCACTTCCTCATTTGACTTGTGAAGGATCATTTAGAAAAGACAAAATTCAGCCTCCTCAGTGGTAGTTTGTCTTGGAATGTTGGTTTTGTTTTTTAAATTAAAAAATTATTTTTATTTATTATGGGTACATAATAGTTGTGTATCTTTATAGGGTACATGTGATATTTTGGTACAGGCATACAATGGGAATTAGTCCAGTCAGGGTATTTGGGGTATCTATCACCTCAGTCATTTATCTTTTCTGTCTTAGGAACATTCCAATTCCACTCTTTCATTTATTTTAAATTCTAATGTATTATTGATTATCGTCAGTTTGTTGTGTTATCAAATATTGTTCATTCTGTCTACCTATCTAACTATATTTTTGTACCCATTAACCATCCCCACTTTATCCTCCCGACCCCACTAGCCTTCCCAGCTCTGGTAAGAGATCAACCGTTTTTATTATTTAGCTCCTACATATGAGTGAGAACACGTCAGATTCGTCTTTCTGTGCTTGGCTTATTTCACTTACCGTTCTCCAGTTCCGCTGGAATGTTGGTTTCAGTTACTGCAGGTCACACCTCCACTGCCTCCTCACCACATGAAAAGACCTAAAAGTGACAGGGATGGCCACTGTTGGGAAACGTGACCTTGGTGCGCTGGAGGACTGGAGTTCATGTCCATCCTGTGTGAGGCCATCCTTGAAATGAGAAGTTTTCCACTCTAAGCCATCATTAGGGTTGTCTTCACTAAGACAACATCTCTTTCCATGATCTTGGAAATGGGAATATTTGAAAAGATAGAGAGCTGTTGTTAACCTCACTCTCACCATGTGACAGCTCTAGGAAAGCAAAGGCTAAAGGAAGAGTCAGGGTTTTGCTCTGTCATGCAGGCTGGTGTATAGTGGCATGATCATAGCTCACTGTAACTTCAAACTCCTTGGTTCGGAGCAATCTTCTCACGTTAGCCTTTTGTGTAGCTAGGAGTTCAGGCACGCACCACCATACCTGGCTAATTTAAAAAAAAAATTTTTTTGTGGGAGACTGGGGGCATGCTATGATGGCCCAGGCTCATCTCAAACTCCTGGCCTCAAGTGATGCTCCTGCCTTCCAAGTGCTGGGTTATAGCATGAGCCACTGTTGCCTGCCAGTTTTCTCCTTATTGACATGCACTGGAGCCCCTGTGAGCTCTTGGAACATGACTGGCCACACTTTTTTTTTTTTTTTTTTTTTTCAGACAGAGTCTCACTCTGTGCCAGGCTAGAGTGAGTGCCATGGTGTCAGCCGTAGCTCACAGCAACCTCAAACTCCTGGGCTCAAGCGAGTCCTTGTGCCTCAGCCTCCCGAGTAGCTGGACTACAGTATGAGCCACCATACCCGGCTAATTTTTCGGTATATATATTTTTATGTTGTCAGATAAGTTTCTTCTAATTTTAGTAGAGACAGGGTCTCACTCTTGCTCAGGCTGGTTTCGAACTCCTGACCTTGAGCAATCCGCCTGCCTCAGCCTCCCAGAGTGCTAGGATTACAGGCGTGAGCCACTGCACCCAGCCCATATGCATCTTAATTTATAAATATATTTATATTTAAATATATACATGTATATTTTTAAATGTTACTATCTAATTTTTTCCTTACTTGACTAGTCTTCTAACAGTTCTTTGTTCACTGTATTCCTATGGTCCTTGGAATATAAACATTCTCTATCCCTTCATTCATTCAATAATAAGGATGGAATGATAACTCGTATAATCCTCTTGAAAAATCAAAGATTTAGTTCCTTTCCTCCAAGACTTCTCAAGAAGTCTTGGATATTTATTCCAGATTGAAAGCAAGTTGTAGTGTTCATGTGTTTTATTTGGACAATGATACAGGGGTTAGTTGCTGCAAATGGAATTACTTACATTCCATTCGAAGGCCCCAACGGCAACTCCTGAAGATGCTCCTATCGCAGCCAGGCCAATAAGATGGCCACTGCCGATATTTGAGGAAAAAAGAGAAAAACCTATCTGAAAATCAAAAGACAATCACATATAAGAACTCTTAGTCCAACTCTAACAATTTTCACAAAAGTCAATTCCTGCTCAATTTCACATTTTATCAAATGGTATTATTCCCTGGGCAGAATTCCCATTTGTTTCTTCTATATAATCCCTACCCATGGGTTAGAAACTAAGTGAAGAGAGAGAAAGTGGAAAAAGTAGAATTGCTATTTTTTATGTTGCCACTTTCTACATGCTCCAATGATATATAAGTAGAACAGTCCAAATCTGAAAATATGAAATCCAAAATGCTCCAAAATCTGAAACTTTTTGAGCACTGGCATGGGGAAATGCTCACTGGAGCATTTATTATTTTAATTTTTGAATTTGGGATGCTAAGCAGGTAAGTGTAATGCAAATATTCCAAAATTTGAAAAAAATCTAAAACATGAAACACTTCTGGTCCCAAGCATTTTGGAGAAGGGAGACTCAATTTGTATTTGTAATTTACTAATGCAAAATCATAAGTAGGAATATGATTTGTTTGAAATACTGTAATTTAAATACATTAATAATCTGATTACCTCTCATAGACTTGCTAAAAGTACATGAATATGATGAAATACACTGTAGCATACAAAAAGAATAAGTAGCTCTATTAAGTGATAAAATAATGTAACCAATATTTATAACATAATTTCATTAAAATTTTATGTATGTACATTACACTTGTTCACATACATGTTTATATCTGCATGGGAATGACTCTGGCAGCATATATGTTAATATCAGTGGGCTGGAATTACAATTAGAGATGAAGTGGGAAGAAAATTTCAAGGTCTATACTCAGACTGTAACTTTTTGTTTTTTTACAACCAACATCTGTTACTTTCTAAATAAAAAATTCTAGAGGCATTTAAAATGAATAAAATACCTCCTAAACCAATATCACCTTTTGAATAGAATGGATTCAAAACCAGAATGCAGCTATTAAGCTGCTGACGTGAGACACATTTAAAAACAAATGATCAGGTTGGAATCAAGATGGCGGACTAGAAACACTGCCAGACAGAGTGTCTCTGCAGAAAAGACAGATTCTAGCAGAAATTAGAAGAAAGAATCAAGAAGACGAGCATACAGCAGACGAGGGTCGGAAGGAGGGGTACCTGAGACCACGGGAGACTTCATGGGAGGAGGTTGCGGAGGAGAACCAGAAGCTGAGACCGCCAGAGCAGCCCGGAGACCAGCAGGAAGGGTAGGTGACTTGGTCAACTTTCCCCTCCCCTGCATCTGAGACTGCTGGTGGACTGCCCAGCGGGTGGAGAGACCTGCGAACACCAGCCCAGAGACGGCCGCTGCCAGTGAGCAGTAAGCCAGTAGTGGACACGGCACCAGGCTCCCAAATCCCTCAGGGCACCTCTGTGTGCACAGACCCGAGCCGCGCGACAGGCGGCTCATTGCCTCATTCTCCCCTCCACCGACCCTACCCACAGCTGCCCAGAGAGACAATATAGCCACCAGCCGGAGGCACCTACGAGGAACGGGACCTTCCCATTTGGGGCCCTACAGCTGACTGATGGGAACTCAGACCATGAGCTCCCTACTCGCCAGCCCTCCCAGGTGTTGCTAGACGGTGATCCCAGGAGAACGGGGCAGACCCTGAGGCTGAGAGACATCGACCCAGCTTGGGCTCCCCATGGGTGAATTGGGACTGGCACTCGTCTCCCTGGTGGGGATATAGTTTGAACTCTGGGGCCCAGAGGTCAGACCTACAGACCAGATCCCATGCACCGAGGTCTCGCATTGCCCAGGGCACAGAAGGGATATTCGAGAACAGCCTACTGAGGTGTGTGTGCCTTGGGGGCAGATCAGTGTCCTAGAGGGCAACGCTCCTCCCAAAGGGAGGTCGTGCACCCAGGCCAGGCAGCTTTCCTGCGCAGGGAACCTCCCCACTGGCATCGCAGACAGGGGAGGCCTGGTAACGTGTGGTCTAGCCTGCTGGCGGAGGCCCAGGAGTAGCTGCAGAGTTGGGGAGTGTGGAAAGAAGTGAGGACCACTCCAGACTGTGGGTCTCGACAGCCCCACCCCACACGTAGGCTTTCTGACTTGAGTGGGGCCATTCCAGCCCCTCCCTGACAGCTTTTTCTGGGAGCAGAAAACAGAACTTTGACCCCTGCTAACGGCATTGGTTGTGCCTGAGGGCAGGCTTACCCAACCCAGCTCCGCCCAGACTCTCTCCTAGGCCACCCCTCACTGAGGGGGAGAAAAGGACATACCTGGAAGTCCCAGGGCCCCACCGACCACCTGAGGCACTAGAGTGCCTCTCTAGAGGAATAAGAGCTGACAACAGGACACAAAAACAACAGCATAGCTTGTTCCTCCAACCAAGCACCACCTATTGACAGGGAGGACATCCTGCACAGCCTTTTACGGCACCTACTGACTCATTATACAGGGAGTGGTCGAATCTCACCCACAGACACCACCTACCGGTTCAGAAACTAAACAAGGCATGTGAATACCCAAATGAAAACCTAAAGCAAAGAAACAACAACTGATAGACATAGGAAGAAATCAGTGAAGGAACTCCGGAAATATGAAGAACCAAACGGAAAACACACCTCCAAACAGGAGCACCAGCCCCCTAGAAACAGACAACAACCAAAATCAGGCAACCAAAATGATAGAAGAGGAATTTTGAATGTGGATCATAAGAAAATTCAAGGACCTGCAAGAACAACTCAATAACCAACACAAAGAAACCACAAAATGCCTCCAGGACCTGGAACAAAAGTTCACTAAACAAATCAACACAATAAAGAAAAGTTTAACTGAACTCCTAGAAATGAAGAATCAATTCAGGGAACTACAAAATACAGTGGAAAGTCTCAAGAACAGGATAGATCAAACAGAAGAAAGAATCTCAGAGCTTGAAGATAACACCCTCCAATTAAATAAACCAGTCACAGAGATAGAGCAGAGAAACAAGAGAAAAGAGCAAAGCCTACAAGAGATGTGGGATTATGTGAAAAAACCTAATGTAAGCGTCACAGGGTTATCAGAAGGGGAAGGAGACAACACTCAAGGGTTGGACAAGCTATTTGAAGATATAATAGAGGAAAATTTCCCAGGCCTTGCTCAAAATCTCGATATACAAGTTCAAGAAGCTCAGAGGACCCCTGGGAGATTCAATGCAAACAAGAAGACGTCCATGCGACCATGCCAGTAACTCAGGGACTGACCAGAATATCAACTAAAGAGGCCGCTTCTAAGAGCTGTAAGCATCGAAAGAACAAGTCAACCTACAAGGGAAAGCCAATCGACATAGCACCCAGACCTTCTCTAATGAACTTACAAGAACAGGAGAGATGGGGCCCCATTCTCACTCTTCTGAAACCAAAACAATGCCCAGCCTTACGAATCGATATTCCCTTGCAAACTAAGCTTCATACACTATGAAGGAGAATAACGACATTCTCAGCACAAGCAAAGGCCTCAGAGAATTCACTCAAAGACAATGACCCACCCTACAACGGAATATCCAACAGGTTACCCGCACAGAAACACCCATAATAAAACTCACGAATAAAAAAACAAACCAAAACCCCAAGATAAACGGCCAGAGATATTAGCAAGGCTCCAAGACAAAATCAAGCACCAAACCCTCCAACCAACAGAATGAACAGTAATCTACCGTTCACCTATCACGTTCCTCACAGTAAACGTGAATGAGCTGTAAACTCTCCACCCAACGGACATGCCTGCCTGAATGGACTAAGAAAACACAGCAAGTCTTATGCTGTCTTCAGCGAAACACATCTAACTGCCACGATGCACTATAGACCAAAAACCGTAAAAGCGGTGGGACTCAGTATGCCAAGCAGTACACCAAAAACAAGGCCTGGCCGGGCGTTCTAATTCACGACACTTTAGCTTTCTTTAAACCGCACAAAAGGTAGTAAGACAAAGAGGGTCATACTCATACCACTGGGTGAGGGCACACTTCAACAGAAGAGATAACACAATTCTAACAAGTATATACCATAGAGGCACCCCACTTAGGTCACCAGATTCACTAAACGCAAACTTACCCTGGCTAAGCCAAATTGATTAATAGCAACCTTCATACCCCGGAGATTTCCAACACCCCACTCGATCGGCCACAGCACAGATCCTCCAAACAGAAAATGAATTACAGCACATAATCGGCTTATAGGCACGAAACTACTAAAACCAACTTGGGTCTCGACTGCATTTACAGCTAACTCTACCCAAAATCCACTGAATATAGCATCTCTCTCAGCAGCTCGCAGATCATCCAGATCTTGAGCCATATTCCCAGACACAAACGACTAAACCATAAGAATTTAAACAAAACTAAATATCATACCATCGTACCTTTCAAGTCGCCTCG